ACCGGCATCTTCCCCCACCATCGGAGCCTACTCACCACCAGGTGGTGATCAGTTGACAGCTCCGCCCCTCTCTTCACCCGAGTGTCCAAAACATGCGGCCGCAAATCCGATGATACAACCACAAAGTCAATCATCGAACTGCGGCCTAGGGTGTCCTGGTGCCAAGTGCACATATGGACACTCTTATGTTTGAACAAAGTGTTTGTTATGGACAGTCCGTGACGAGCACAGAAGTCCAACAACAAAACACCACTCGAGTTCTGATCGGGGGGGCCGTTCCTCCCAATCACGCCCTTCCAGGTCTCACTGTCATTGCCCACGTGAGCATTGAAGTCCCCCAGCAGAACAAGGGAGTCCCCAGCAGGAGTACTCTCCAGCACACCCTCCAAGGACTCCAAAAAGGGTGGGTAGGCTGAGCTGCTGTTTGGTGCATATGCACAAACAACGGTCAGGACCCGTCCCCCCACCCGAAGGCGGAGGGAGGCAACCCTCTCGTCTACCGGTGTGAACCCCAATGTACAGGCACTGAGCCGGGGGGCAATAAGTATGCCCACACCTGCTCTGCGCCTCTCACCGTGAGCAACTCCAGAGTGGAAGAGAGTCCAACCCCTCTCGAGAGAACTGGTACCAGAACCCAGGCTATGTGTTGAGGCAAGTCCGACTATATCCAGTCGGAACTTGTCTACCTCGCACACCAGCTCGGGCTCCTTCCCTGCAAGAGAGGTGACATTCCACGTCCCTAGAGCTAGCTTCTGCAGCCGAGGATCAGACCGCCAGGGTCCCCGCCTTTGGCTGCTGCCCAGCTCACATTGCACCCGACCCCTTTGGCCCCTCCCATGGGTGGTGTGCACCCGGTTTGACTGTTATCGTGCTAAAAACCTTCCGCTAACTGGACCGCTAATTAGAGAGAAGAATTAGAGAGAAGCCGAGTTCCATAGCGCCAACTATGGGCATGGAGGACTTCGAAGCGTCCCCTAGCTGGCTTGAAAAGTTCGTTGCACGACATCAGATGAGCAACGCTGTCTTGGGTGGTGATCAAGGGGAGGTAAAGTGACAGTGAGTGAGTAGAAAGAAAAGCTACCAGGCCTGTTTACTCGTCTCATTTTGTAGCAAATAGTCCTAATTTTGTGACTAGTCTTGTTATACTCTATTTTGTTCATATACCTGTACTGTATGCTGCAGTTTTTGTGTTATTAACAGTTTTTGGAACATATATGAATTTTATTGCTTGTGTTGTTACACATGTATTTTGTTACCATACTTGCATGTTCATAAAGGAATGTTTTTTTTTCGTTTTGTTTTTTTGTTTTGTAGTGCCAGATGGCTGGGATGAATCACTACAAAGAGATTGTGGCACTGTCATTAAAACATTCCTCTAACAGTCAGTACTGACTAAGCACGAGCAATGGGCTCAGCTGTTTTTTTGAGGTGGGTAACTAAAGAAGCCTCAATGTTGCCTAATTCACACAATGACGCTATGACGTATGCTGCCCCAAAACACAAGCTGCCAGCTCATTCGCACATTCACACTCATTGGGACCAACTGCCATCGTAGACCAAAGAGACTGAAGGAGCAACTCAGATGTTGGTCGAAAATCTCTCCCACCCCGAAACGACAAAATCAATGATTTGACTATTTCAAATGTATTGAAAGTGTCATTTTATGATTGTTTTTGCTTCCTACGACCGCTACAATCATGAGAGGCATAAAGCAGAAACATTCACATTGAATGGTTGATATACACATTCTTAAATACTTCATTCCCACACCACCTGCTGTATGTTTAAGTCAACTATGTTAACCACTACACCAAAGGCCTCATGCAGGTAAATCTATAATATATATTTATATGTTATATAAAATATGGTTGTCAATCAATGAAGAATTTTAGCTGTGATTGATAACATGATTTCGATTGTTAAATTGGGATTCAGAAATGAACCACACATTTTGTAGGTGTTCTAAATGTAGAATAAATAGAATTTTTTTCAAGGTTTAAATAATCTTATCAACATATAATTGGACAAATATGCTTACTATATGAAAATATATTCATTATTGCAGCATTTCAAATTCAAGTCTAACAACAAACAAGATGGGCACGCACTGTACAACAATCACTGCACTTATTGAATTTGTCTATCTAAATATTTCTTAGTCGTATTTAAATGCAACGTATTGTTAGCTAAATGTCGCCTCACAAATCTTGACATTAACCTTGAATCATTCCACACCATCGCAAGTGCAAATGCCCCAAACTTGATTATTATGATTTTTTTTAATTAGTTTTTTTTTAATCGTACGATCTTTACCTGGATTCATAAATCCTTAGCTTGTCATCACTTAACTGAAGAATAACTTGAAACTTAGGCTTCAAAACCTCTTTTCTTAGCTCCGTATTCATTTTTCAAGCCAACGAATTGAAATTAAGTCTCTTTTTCCTGCAGTTCCTTCACTCTCAAATGTTTTCACTTCTTCCCACTCTGACCATTCACAACACAGTTGTGATTATCTGCCAACTGCTTTGTAGTTTTACTTGTCTGTCATAGCGTCCATCCTCGCCTATCACGAAGCCCAACTGCAAATTTTACTTTTGTTTTTTTTTTTTTTTTAATTCATCCCAAAGGTCAGTTCAGTTCAATTGGTGTGCCCCGCCTACTGCCCGAAGACAGCTGGGATAGGCTCCAGCACACCCCGGGACCCTTGTGAGGATAAAGCGGATCAGAAAATCGATGGATGGATGGATCACGTGTGAACAACTATACCACAGAAGCCCCATGCCTTTAAATGGGCCTTGATTTTTATTTTTGGGGGTTTCACAGGGATTTGATAGGACCTTTTTTTGCCTTTAAATGGGCTTTGATTGACTCATTTGCCATTAAATGGGCCTTAATTGAACCTTCCTGGCTTTAAATGGCCCTTGATTTGACTCTTTTGTCTTCAGCTGGGCTTTGATTTAATTTTGATTTGCCCTTTAAGTAGCTATTTATTTGAACTTTTGCCTTTAAATGGGCCTTAATTTGATATTTTGGCTTTTAAATTGGCCGTAAATCAACTTTTTGCTTTTAAGTGGGCATTGATTTGACTTCCATTTAAGTTTGCATGTGGGAGAAGGAGTGTTGATGGGAGTGCGTGATTTATAAAAGTTGGACATGGACCCAGCACCATCTTACTGCTGATAGTAGACACAGTCCTGCGGGTATTATGTTATCTTGAGGCATTGTATGACGAAAATGGAACCCAATGAATCTTGTATTGTTACATTGCATTTGACTTTAAATGGTGTTACTATTTTGTAATGATGCTCTGTTTTGAAATATTGGTGTTTTTAATTGCTGTGTTTGTGAGTGCAGCACTATTCTAGCAGCAGCAACATTGTGAGTCAGCTTTTTCCCCTCTGCCTGGTGTAATGGAGTTAAAGCGGGGGTGAGATAATGCCTGAGGAGGCAGTCAGGAATCAAAGCGCCCACATCCTGCTGGAGCAAGAAGATGGTACAATACTGCCACCTGCTGGACCATAGCTGGAAGTACATCAGGTGGGTGGAGACCAGACATGGATTAATTTTTGGCTGTGAAGATGCATTATTTATTCTAAATAAATGATGGAAAATATTGGAGTAGGTTTCAATTATATTAAGTTTCTTTGACAATTTATTTTTTGGAACGTGTATGCGGCGATCAGAATTCTCTATTCGTCTATTTTTTTTTTTTTTTATACTTAAAGAGTTGAATCAGTAGTTTGCCACCTGTGTAAATAGTTGCAAGAAAGTGAAGTTGATTGGCCAACCTGGGGATTCGTCAAAAAAGAGGCTGTGTCCAAATTCACAGGCTAGGTCCTCTGAAGGCCGCATTTTCGGCTGCATGACATCAGTTCCGGCGTAAAGTGACCGCACGTGGTGTGCAATTTCATATTCACAGTGGCGGTTCTAGATCAGTTTCACTGAGGGCAGTCCGCGGAGGGTCCATGAGCAGGAGCCTTCGAAGGCATTGAAGGACCCAGCTTGCGAATTCTCTTTTTAGAATTTGGAAACCACGTGCGGTCCGTTTGTGCCGGAAGTGACGCCTTGTAGCAGAAACTACAGCCAAAAATGCGCCCTAATGAGAATGCAGCCTGTGAATATGGACACAGCCAGACAACGACAATATCCAGGTGGCCAATACTGTCCTCTAGTGGTGAAATATCCAACAACTACATGGCCAACCAGTCAGAGAGAAGAGCCAATTTTTT